GCTTGATAACTTTTGCTGCTCATTTGTGAGTTTGTTGTTTGACTCAGTGCAGGTGTGTTTATGGAGGAACACCCCATAAGAGCGCAGGAGCGCTACCCCTTAGTAGCGCAGTGACGCTGTAGAATTTTGAGCTCGGTGTGGTCAGGTGTTTCAATCTGTCACTTCTTGGCTTCTTGGTTTCAGTGGTGTTAGTTGATCGCGATTCATAGATTCAGAAGCTGCGCGATGGACAGCAGCTGCGCAACTCGGCGCACGGTGCCTGTGATGCACATCACAGTCCCGGTTTGGGCTCCACCTTCCCAGGACATGGTGGTGCCGAAGTTTGTGGAGAAAATTTTGTCGCAAAAGACAGAAATGGAGTTTCACCACTACGCAGCGCACGACCTTGAGCTTTTGAAAGAAGTTTCTGTGCAGGGTCAGAAATTGCTGCTTTGCTTCCACAGGAAAATGTTCCTGAAGCGCTTGGAAGCCTTCTGCCTGACTGTGCGCTATGTTTCCAACCATGTGGGTCCTACAGAGCCCCGGACTATTCCCACACAGTTCTTGGCAGATGTCCCTTGCTCGGCGGCCGAGCATTCCTTTTCGGAGTTGCTTGCTATTACCGGCTACACCATTGCCAGGTTGCAGAACTTTCGCTCAGAACTGGCCTCCGCCATTCTGATCATTGAAACTGGAGCTGAGTTGTTTATGTGTGACCAGGAACTGTTCACTGTCATCGAAGAGTGCCATGTGATCTTCCAGGATTTGAAGGTCTGCGTGACCGGGCTGCTCCTGGATCCTCAATGTGGTTGGTATGGTGGGGCTCCAGTCACTGATTCAGCTTAGTAGCATCTTGTCATTCTGTGCGCTATAGTCAATTCGACCACACCGGCTGGTTACCGTGGAAGAGTGGCAGGTGAAAACGGCGTTGAATTTTTGAGAGTTTGTTGTTTCAGAGATTGGTGTGTCAGTGGGTTCTGGAAAATGTGTTTCTGAAACATGTTTGTCATTACTGTTGCTGTGCAATGCTTGGGATTTAAGAATGAAACCATGACTCTTTGGAGGAAACACACGGAGCGCATAGCATTTATGGTAAATCACTGCCATTGCCATAGAATACCGTAAAATAACGACTTTCCTGGATATGGCGCGCGCTGCTTTTGGAAATGCGTCTTTCTTTGCGTTGAGACATGGCCCTGCAGCAGGGTAGGCCTGCGAGCACCAAACCAAAGACTGACTGAACATTTGCGCAAAACCAGAACCAGAGACAACAATTTTCGTGCTGATATTAATTTCAAAGTAGAACGCCACAGTACTTGGATGTTTTTTGTATTTGCCCGGTAAACATGTCGCTCGCAGGGTCGTCGCAAGACCCAAGCCTGCCGTCTCCGGTCTCTTCAGAATGCGCCGAAGGCGCTAGGGATCTTGAAGATGATTCTGGAGTGCAGCTGCCATCAGATGTGGAGTCTGACCAATGCAACACTGGGCTCCGAAGTCATTGTAAGTGCAAGTTGCTGTGCTGCCAGCAATTTGATGAGTCAGCCGTCGAGATAGCAAGAACGGAGTTTTTGAAGGATGGGCACGTGAGGCAAGGCCAAGTCTTCTTGAAAGTGAAAGGCTTTGTTGATCAGCTCCCTTCCGACAAGGCCAAGATAGCCTGGTCAATAGATGGGAAAATGGTGCGCCGTCCCTTTTGGGAGTTTTACCACGCGACTGGCCACAAGGCCATTGATGAGATGGTGAAGCTGGCCAAGAATGGGCACAACAGCGTGCCAGAGAGAGGAGCAAGACTTCCACGAGAGAAACCAAAAATGGATGAAGCAGATCTTTGGTTTTTGGCAGTGTACCAGGGGCTGGCTGAGCCTACTCCAATGGAAGATGGTGGCTGCCACTTTGAAGAGCTGGCAGACCAAGCTGGGCAGCATGAGGTCATCAAAGACTTGAACCACCCCTTGTTGTCACTCTCACTTGGCATTTCAACAGAGAAGAATACCGTGGCCAAACGTTTTTTGAACCAGACCGATGTGGCTTCTCTATGGCATGCCTATGAAACAGAGAAGGCTGGAGAGGAAAAGGTGTCGAGGGACACCTTCACAAAGGCTTTCAATCGGCACTGGAAGCGGATCCTGATTTTCAAAGGTGAAGGCCAGGGTGTTCGCTGCACTTTGTGCGCAGAGCTTGACCAGTCACGCTTGCAGTGCGTTTCCAAAAAGGAACGCCAGGAAATCGATTTGCAGAAATCCATGCATCTCAACAGAACAGATGCCGACAGATCTGTGAATGTGAGAGGAAACAAACTCTCCATGCAGCCATCCACTTATGAAGCCAAAAACAGCCAGACCGCAGTGATGAAGATATTAATAGACGGAATGGATCAGAGCAAATTCCGGGACCTTCAGCAGCATCACACGGCCTGCGCTGCACATGACGGGCTGCATTGCAATTGGACTATGTGAAGCATTCTATTGCATGGGCCCAGATTGCAAGAAGGACTCGAACATGAACGCAACGATCATCTCGCAGGTCCTGGAAAAGGCATGCCTGGCAGTGAACATGAAGGGCGGCAATCATTGCCTACCACGCCATTTGATCATTGCCGCTGACAATTGCACAAGAGAAACCAAGAACCAGTGGCTGGCAACTTATGGTGCATTTTTGGTAGCCAAAGGACACTTCGAATCAGTCGAGTTTCAGTTCATGCTCACAGGCCACACCAAAAACGAGCTTGACCAGCGCTTCAGCGCCATAGCCACTGTTCTACGCAAGGCTCCTGTCCTTGAAACACCTCAAGAGTTTGTGGAATACATGACCCACAACATTGCGCCTACCTTGGGCAGTGAGTTACACTGCGAAGTCATGAATGGGACCTGGGACTTCATAGCCTGGTTTAAAGAGTTGGGAATCCAGATGAAAGGCCTCACAGCTACTCATTTACAACCTGACTCGAACCATCTTTGGAGGTTCATGCTCCGGAAGCATGTGGAGGCTTCTGAAGTGGTGGAGTGTCACAACGCTGATTGGGAGAATCTGCCACAGGACCAGAACGACGTTGTGCTGGTGCTGAAGCAGTCTCTAACCTAAATGTTTGAAGGTTTCAGATTTTCTAGATTTGGTTTATAATTTTCTTTTTTTTTGAAACTAGATCCTTGTCCTTTGATTTTGCTCCAGGTTCATCAGCTCAGCTGCGCCGTCGCAGCCTCCACAGTTGGTGATGCCGGCCAACTTGCATCGCAAGTTGGAACCAAGTCGTCTGCGTGCAGCTGAGCGCAGAGTTTGGTCTGAAGAGATGCTGAGTGACCTTCGCAAGACTGCGGCAGCCGTTGCAGCTGAGCCGTGGCGGCATTTTGCCGCACAGGCTTGGCTGGAACAATTGTGCGATGATAATGAAGCTCGACGTGCTTTAATTCCGCCGGAGCTTAGCTTGGTCTTCATGGACGGTGAATTTCAAGACCATTGTCTTCTACCAGATTTTGAAGACTTGTTCCTCGAGGACCCCAAGCCTCGTGTCGTGACGGTGGGGCCTGCTCCAGCAAATCGTGGCCGTGGCATGAAGCGGCCTGCAGCAGCTGCTGAAGACCCTGTGCCTATCAAAAGACCTGCTGCTGCTGCCGGGCGAGTTCCTTTGAGGCGACCCGCCGCAGCTGGTGAAGCCATTGCTGCAGCAAGTCGTGTTGAAGGTGAAGCAGAACGAGCGCCAGCAAATGCTGCAGGGATCTTCGCGAGGAAGCCTGGCAAAGCTGAGCCTGTGGATTCTGATCTGGATTAATCCGGAACATTGTCGTGTAGTTTTTCTTTGTGGGCCATCGTAATTATTGTAGGTTTGGGGCCACTCTGTAGTATTTAGAAGTAAAAAAGGTTGTCGCAAAACATTTTAATGTTGCAGCTTTGCACTTGGTCCTTGGGGGTTGAGGAAGTTACAGACACACACAGCCTTTTCTTAATAAGTGAAAGCCAAGCTAACTGTCACAGTGTACTGAAATTTGTTCAAGAACCGTGAATTTCCAAATTCAACATGTTCAAATTGTGCATTATAATACTATTTTGTAAGGGGCCTTCTCAGCAGCGCAATGTTGCGCTAAGCGCACTAAGTAGCGCGCTTTTACTAAGTAATCTTAAACCCTGCAGCAGAATCCCATAAACCTAAACCCGAAAAAGAGCCTAATCCAGCAAACCCGTCTCATTTGATCAAGCGATTGGTGTGCGCGCCGCATTGTGAACTCCCCAAGGCAGTCGAGCATTTTGGCTGTTCGAAGTGCCGAAGGAAAAGCCACGGCTGCGGCCGATGCCGCGAGTTTGCAGCCACCGGGTACAGTGGGTACTTCATCAGTGTGGACAACACTGTTTGCAAGTCACTCATTGAAGAAGTGGACTGAATCAGTCCTTTTTTGCATTTGACCAAGTTGATGACTTTTTTAGAGCGCACTGAAAGAAGAACCTTCGGAGTGCAAAAATAGTTGGGTCCTCTGCGCCTGCCGGCGTGAAAGTATTTCCAAGAGAAAGCCATTGCGTGACCTCTTACGGCAGATATTTTTGTGAGATTTTTTACGGCAGAGAGTTTGGGCATATCATTGTTTTGATTTTTGACAGTTGAATTTTCACCAGCAGCGTTCTGGCCAAGAAAACACGACCAGTGTGTAAGACTTGCTTGCTGCTGAACAGCCATGAAAAAACCTGCTGCTGCGCCTCAGAAAGCCACTGCCAAGTCGGGAAAGAAGACCGTTGCGAAATCCAAAGCGCAGCCTGGTGGCACCACGACCAGGCACCGCAAGCCGGGATCTTTGACGAATGACCGCGACCAGACTTACTCGCAATACTTGGATGAATTGTTCGAAGAGTGGCGCGACTACAAGCACTTCACGGCCAGCTTCAAGGACAAAGGACCTGACGGCAAGTAACTTTGCTCGGCAGATTGTGCTAAAAAGGCGAGTGCTAAATGAGAGCTTACTTTTTTTGAAGACAGGAAGCCAACGTCGTGCTCAGGTACCGTCCTTGCGCAGTGGAGTCGTGGAAGGCCTTCAAGACTGGGCGAGTCAGGGACAACGGCTGGTTCCAGCACTGTGGCCGCTGGCGGTGGATGGCCCCTGAAGATGACGCAGACAACTAGCTGACGGCTGACTGAGCAGTCTGACAGTTTTTTTGTAGCCTAGCTCGGCCTTGAAGCCAGACTCAGAGCTCGTCAAGCAGCAAAACTGATGTGTTTTTTTGGTGGCCGATGTGCTGGAGCTGGCACAGTGAGGCTCCAGAGACTTAAGTTGCTCACTAGCTGACTGGTAACAGTTGCTTCTCAAAAGTCCAGGGTCAGACAGTAGAATGCCAGAGAGGAAAGCTAAGAAACGCAAACCCTAAACCCTAAACGTCTCGGCAGAAATTTTGCGAGAGTTTTGTTTACTTTGCACAGTATGTTTTTTCACAGGATCTTGGTAGTGAAGGAAGCAAACAACTTGGGATTTCCCACGGATTCCCTGGAATCCTTGAGATCTCTGGCCTGGGTTTCGCAAACCCAAGATCCCAAGGATTCCATGGAAACCATGGGAAATCCAGTCAGTTTGTTGGACGCCTGTGAACTTGACCTCGCGAAACGCAGAGGTGATTTCACAAGAAAGCTCTGTAAAGCAGGTTTTCCACATGGATTCCATGGAAACAGTGTGATCTCAGCTTCTTGAAACGCAGGGAGGACTTCACAGGAACAGTATCCTTTTTACTAAGAACTCAGTCCACTAAGTTGGCGTGAGTCAGATCTGAACCATCTTCTCTAGGCTTCAGGGTAGCTAACTCTGGGCAGCTAACTCTGGGCAGCTAAGCCAATCACACAGTGACAGACTCAGAGTGTAAGCTAACTGTCAGGTCACTGTTTCTGTAAGCTAGCTAGCTCCAGTTCTATGATAAGCTGTTCTGGAGAAAGGCCACTAAGTTTTTAGAATCCCAGAAGCCGAGTGCAGCAATGTCAGCGGATGAGAGCTCCCGATCTCGCTCGCCCACTATATCTCCAAGGAGACGATATGCTGCTGCTAGAACTTTGAAGATCATGTCCGGCAGACGCGCCTTACTGGAAGTGAAGGAGGAACCAGCTCCTGAATGCCCTGCCTCAGAACCTGCCGGCCTGTCAGAGATGCCCCAGGATGACTCCGTGCCAGCTCCAGGTACAGCTTTACTCCAACCAAAAGAACAACTAGACCCAGTGGATCCTTTGGGCGCAAGGACAGCAGACGGTGAAGAAGTTTGTCAAGCTCCAGAGGCTCAGCCTACACCAGCCACGCCGACTGTTGCTGATTCTACTGGGCAAAGTGGCCTCTCTGAGCAGCCTACTGTAGCGCCAGCCCGTTTTCCTATGGCTGCCCAACCAGAAGCGCCTAGACGGCGCCGAGGCAACCGAGGTGGTATAAATGTAGTGTTCTGGAACCACTTCCACCTGCTGAAGCGCAATTGGCCATGGTGAAAATGAACGGTGTTCGGGATCTGATTCAGTTTCTGTGCAGTTGTATCAGAGCTATCGGGACTTTACTTATATTATGTTCCTATATGATAAATAATATATAGGTTGTGTCATGTTTAAGTAGCAGCGCAAGAGCGCTTTTGGGGGATAGGAGCTGCCTTTTAGGCGCTACCCTTTGGGGGATATGGTGCACTCTGCTGTCAACCCACCTTTGTTTCACATTGCCTTGAAGCGGATCAATTTTTCTGGTCCCCAGTGACTTTTTCGCTGAGATCATGGCAGACCCTGGGCCAGATGATGATGTGGTGATTGTGGAGGACTTAGATGACTGTCCAGTGCGGAAAGCGCTGGTGGCGAAGTTGGCTTCTGCTCTGGAGAAACATCCTGGCGGGCCTGCATCCTACTTGGCTGCCCATTTGCAGAATGATGGCGAGAAGCAGAACTTCGTGAACTGGCTATGGAAAAGCTTTCCGGAACGTGATGATGTTTGCTATCATCACTCAGCAGACATTCCATGGGTCGCAGAACAACAGCTGGCGCAAACCCCCCCAGTGGCCATTCACATCGCTTGCTTTGGCTGGGAGGACGGCTGTGGCATGAAGCCACCGCCGGGGAAAGATTTGACATTACAGCTGGTGGAATGGTATTTGAAGGATGGGTTCATCAGCTCTGGGGAAGTGCTTCTGGTGTCACAACCTCAGGCTTTGGCCGCATCAAGTCTTACTGCCCCTTGGACTGGTGATTTGAAGCCCTGCAGTGTGGGCTACATCAAGGGCAGAGCTCGCATGACAGCGCTGCTGGCAATCCTTCACGTGATCTATAGTGATAAAACAGGCATGGATTTGACTCCGTGCCACAAGTTCATGGAGAGTGTGAATTTGATATGGGTACAACACCTCAGGCAGGCTACCAAGGAAGACGAAGTCCTGTGCAACCTGAAAATGAGCTTGTGCGGTAGCCTGAGGAAAGCAGCTAACGTAGTGCAGATGGCTTCGATGGTGAGAAGACTCATGCAGGAGGGCTCCACCGACTATGGTTCCTTTGTGAGACGCTTCAATTCCCAGACTGTCCCTGCCTACCAGATCCGAGGCCGCAAGGCCACGGCTTTGAAGCTCCTCTTTGAATCGGCGCCGAAGGACAACTTTTTTATAGGGTTCATATTGTTATTTTCTAATTGTTTTAAGTATTTTGTTGCAGAAGATATCACCCATCTATTTTGCAGGATGTGCTGGATGCAGTGCTGGACCACGTTGGAAATCTGGGTTGGCCAGATTGTGCGTGGACGGAGGAGAACCTTAGCAGCAAGCGCCTTTTTCCAGGGCACCAGTTCCCATCAAGATCGAGGAAGTGGATGGCCAGACTCAAGGTTTCTGATGATTCTCTTCGGCTGATGGCCACAAGGGTGCGTTGGGTGAGGGAAAAAGCTCACCAGGCGAACCTTGGCAAGGGTAAGATGGATGGTGCTTCGATGGAAGCAGTGGCGGAGAAGGCAGCCGCCTTGCATGCTTTGGCTTTGGAGTTTTGCAGCGAGCACCCTGTTCCACTCGAGACTGTCAAGCAGCGTGTTTTGACTGAATGGTCTCAGGGGTGTGAGCGCATTGATTGCGAGATCTCTGCCGCCTTGTTGGAGAAGTCCGATAGTTTCCAGATAGCTCAGCAGATGCCTTGCTTCAAAAGTCTGCTGGAGGATTCATTGTTCAGGACTCCAGTCAGTTCTGCTCAGGAGGCTTGTATGGCTTCCATGCAAATCGATTCAAAGCAGAATGTGTTTTTCATACGGCTGTGCAAGCAAAACAAAAACAACTTACAAATAATTGTTCTTGATCATAACCATTATTATAACAATGCTCAAAAAACATAACAATGAAATCCTTTTCATGCGCAGGTGGATTTGCGCGATGCCTTGAAGAAGGACGAATATGACCATTTGATCAAGAAGATGGACTACGATCAGAAGGTCTTTGAAATCTGGAGACAAAAATGTACTTCAGTGAGCGCAGCCAGGACACATGCCCGCCAGGAGCGTTTAGTGTCTCAGCACCGCCAGCTGCAGGAATCAGCCGAGCACTTCGTGGAGGGATGCGTGCGCCTGCTGTGCTGGGAAAATTCCAAGGGATCTGACACCTTGCTGCCGCAGATCCTGGCCTTCAGGATGGAAGTGATGAAGAAGCTCCGAAACAGTGGCATTGTTGCAGAAGTGCCGACCGTGGTTCTCATGAATTGGACGGCGCCATGCTTGCTGCCAAGTGCCAGGCAACGGGATCACAGCAACGTGCTGGCCTGGGCGTTGCATGACAACGTCAACAGTGTGGGCGTTGTTTTCTCCCCGACGTTCAGCTACAACAGGGGGAAGACCTTTCTCGAAGAACACACCGGCTACGAGATGCTGCTCCAGGGTGGCCATAACCTGGACCACCAGTTTTCCCTCATCTTCAGTGACCGGTGCGATCAAAGAGATTCACGCCCACTTGTCTACCCTGCAAGGTTTGCTTTTCCAGGCCATGTTGTCGACCTGTCCAAGAGCAATGCTTTCTTCGCCTCGGAACTGCGCAAGTCAGGGCGCACAGATGCCGTGAAGCAATTGCCTGCCAAGGAGCTCAAAGAAATGGAGGATATGGCAGATGATTCATTGCCAAGCTCGACTTCCGCGAACTTTGTTTCAGGGGCTGCGAAACATTGCCAGATGGGGCAACCAGCAGCGGAGGAGATCTTGAAGAAGTTGTTTGCTGGCACAGAGTTCGAGAATGCCCCTGCAATCCTCATTTTGGACCTATTTCCAAGGGTGGGTGATTTTTGCCATGCTTTTTGCAAGCTGCGGTCAAACACCAATGTGGGGGCACAGCTCTTCTATGTTGGGGTAGCTGAAAAAGCCAAAGATCAGGAATGGCTGCGCGCAAGCCTTTTGGATGAGCTGGTGGAAAAGCTCAAGCAAGGCCAGTTTCAAATCCCTGGCGCACGGCCCTTCCAGCATGATGTTCCAGGTGATCTCCTTGAAGCGCTTCCAGCTTTACCGATCATGAACACCTTGGTGACAGTGGGTGATGGAGAATTTCGCAAGCTTGTCATCCCGCAGGGTTTGGTCAAGAAGTGGCGCACCGATGAAGACTTTGGTGATGCGTTTGGAACTTGGCTGGATACCTTCTGCGAGAAATACAGCATTGCAGAAGATGCGGATACCCAGGACAAGCCAAATAAAAGGGCAATCGAAGATGGTGGCTCTAGCAGTGAGCCTGGTCCTTCTCCCAAGAAGGTCAAGATTGAAGAGGTGGCTGCTGAGTTCATCTTGGCGAATGACAAGGTGGCAGAGACTTTGCTACTGGAGGCAAAGCTCTCAGGAAAGGACAGTCTCAGCTTTCAAATTCGCACAGGGCATCAGCTCTACTTGGTCAATAACACAGGGCAAGAAATCTCTTTGAAACCTACCACGCCGCTGGTGGGCTTTGGTCGCGGGACCTTCAAGCTGCTCAAGGAGAACGAGACCCTTCCAGAGAAGGCGATCGTGTTTGATGTGACTGTGCCAGATGCGCTGCTTTCATTGAATGGCGTGGTCAGCACGGTGTCGGAGCTGGTGGCCAAGCAGCGTGAGAGTAAGCCAGAAGCCGAGGTGTCGTACCACAAGGCGACTATGATTGCAGAGAAGCCTGGTCAGTTTGAGTTCAAAATGACCCACAAGGTGGCCTTCATCCCCCCCACCAAGAATGCGCCAGATGCGGAAGCAAGCAAGGGGAAAGAAGAGCCGGTCACTGCTGCCAACATCGCCTCACGAGAGCTTGCCAGCACATACACTGGCATGCATTCGGTCTCCATTGTGTGGCACACGAAATGGACGGTCAAGGGGTTGCAGCCGATCAAGCCCTTCCTCCACTTGACGAAGAAGCTTGCCCTCTCTCCAGGGCAATGTTGCAAACTGAGAGCGTGATACTTTAGTTTTGGCTGGGGAGAACAGACTGTTCCCTTCTGTAGTGCTCAGTGGCAAGGGAACCAAACTCCTGACAGGATCTTAAAGGAATCTTTTACTTTTAGTTAGTTTTGCGTTTGGATTTGGAACGGAATAATAGACGTATAATATACTATATGTATCTTGAAAAAAGGTTCTGTGGATGATTCGCCCCACTACTGGGAGGGAACTGCGGCGGGTATTGTCCAGCTTGCAAGGCAAGCGTTGAGTCTGCTTTCAAAGTGGAAAACTGTTATGCGGCAGGTCAGTAAATGCCAGTGCAGTCACACAAACAATTGCCAGCGTTGTGAAACACATTCCTCCAATGGTGCATTTCATTTGACAAGGAACGTTAATAACGTTTACTAGTAGTTTCATGCCAGAATAACAGCGCATCCCTGCGCTTAGCGCATCCCTGCGCTTAGCCCACAAGCCGTTTTACAGGGGTTCCCATATTGCAGTTCATACTCAAGGCAATGTCATGGAAGCATCCCGTTCAAGTGTTACAAAAAAGTTTTCATTGGCAGTTT